AGAGAGAATCAGCAAATTCTTTGGAAAGGAACTAAGCACTACACTAAATGCTGATGAAGCTGTTGCCAGAGGATGTGCCCTGCAGGTCTATGTCTTACTTCCTTTTTTCGAGCTCACCAGCTCCTCCTTCTCTACAATACTCACTGAAATACTGGTTTTGTCTTTTTAGTGTGCAATTCTGTCCCCTGCCTTCAAAGTACGTGAGTTCTCCATCACAGAGGTTGTCCCTTACCCCATCTCCTTGAAGTGGCATTCTACTGCAGAGGAAGGCCTAACGTAAAAAAAACAAACATATTTTTCCCCCCCACAGTCTTTAAATATTATTTTAAAGCTCCCTACTAATTGCCACCACGTCATTTTTTTTGCAGTGATTGTGAGGTTTTTCCCAAGAATCACCCAGCACCTTTTTCCAAAGTGATGACTTTCTTCCGAAAGGAACCATTTTCTTTGGAGGCCTACTATAACACTCCAAAAGAGCTGCCCTACCCTGATCCCACTATTGGTATGTATCTCCTCCTAACAAAAACATTCCAACTATGTTGATTTTCTTACCTGTCAAATGTCAACTTTGTTCATATCTGCGTATCTCTTCCTTTTCTCCTGGTTTCCAGGTCAGTTTTTGATCCAGAAAGTTGTCCCGCAGGCATCTGGTGAGAGCTCCAAGGTGAAGGTTAAAGTGCGAGTGAACATCCACGGCATCTTCAGCGTATCCAGTGCTTCCCTGGTTGAAGTGCAGAAGTGCGATGAGAACGAAGAACCAATGGAAACTGAACAGGCTGGGGACAAAGAAGGAGAGGTACCTAAGACACACGTGTGCTTGATTCAGTGATCATAAATTCATCTTTGACATTAAAGACAAGTATGTTGTCTACAAAAAACATGTTTTATGTGTGTGTTCCCCACAGAACAAGATGCAAACCGATCAGGAGGAACAGAAAGGACAGGGTGATGGTCCCAAAGAAGCAGAGGAGAAAACACCAGAAGAGATGGAGGTGCGGTACTTGGCTTTTTCTATGAATTAAAATGCTACTTGTATTAGACCAAATCTTTCAAATCAGTACTACCAACGGAAAGGGAATGAGAGGCTGATAACTAAAACTATTGGCAATAAAAAAAACGTTTTTTTGTTCACTTCAGTTCACTTCAGATAAGCTGAGTGTCCATCAAGAGTTACTTTACCCCATTTATTCTCATTCATTTTTAGACTAACACAGAGGAAGCTAAAGGAGAGAAGAAGTCTGACCAACCTCCACAAGCCAAGAAGCCCAAAGTCAAAACAAAGGTGCTGGAACTTCCGATTGAAAACAGTCCACAGTGGCAGCTGGCAGACGACATGCTGAATCTTTTTGTCGAAAATGAGGTAACTGAGCCTTTTATCACAAAGGCACATCAGCAACTCCTCCGTATTTAACGGCTCACTCTATTTTTAAGAATTTACAGTTGACTTTTATTGGTTTGGTATCACCTCAGGGGAAGATGATCATGCAGGACAAGCTGGAGAAAGAGAGGAACGATGCCAAGAATTATGTAGAAGAGTATGTGTATGACATGAGGGACAAACTGCACGGGAGGCTGGAAAAGTTCGTCAGTGAAACGGTACGTAAACTCACATCTGTGCTATAAATAAAGAATTGTGATGAAAACATCTGCTCAATAGAATGTGTAATTTTTATCATTTTCTTTCAATTGTAGGACAGAGATGCTTTGTCCCTAAAACTGGAGGACACTGAAAACTGGCTGTATGAAGAGGGTGAGGACCAACCCAAACAGGTGTACATTGACAAACTGGGTGAATTAAAGGTAAATGTCACTGAAACAACAGCTGTCATTCCCAGTCCATGCTGGGATATATGCATCACACATGTCTCCTGCTCTACAGAAACTCGGGCAGCCAATCCAAGAAAGATACGCAGAGGCTGAAGAACGACCCAAAGCCTTCGAGGAGTTAGGCAAACAGATCCAGCAGTACATGAAGTTTGTGGAAGCGTACAAAACGAAGGTAGTGAACCTTTCCAAAAGGCACATTTTTAAAGTCTGTACAGTTTGTATCCTTTAAATTACAACTAAAAGGCTGCTAAAGGGAGTGATGTTGTGATGTAATGACGCACGAGGTGATGATTAATGTCACTTCATCCTCGTCCTTGGCAGGAGGAGCAGTATGACCATTTAGATGAGGCTGATGTCGGCAAAGTGGACAAACTGACCAGTGAAACAATGATGTGGATGAACAGCTCCATGAACCAGCAGAGCAAACAGAGCTTGACGGTGGATCCTACTGTCAAAGTCAAAGACATTAAAGCAAAAACAAAGGTGAGTGTTGTGTGGGGGGAAGAGGAACGGAAATATTGAAACATGTAGTCGGTGTTCTAAGAGCCTATGCATTTATAAAAGTCAATTTTTACTACTTGTGGTCTGCTAAGTTACTTTCCTCTCATCTGTCATTTAACTTGTCTTGGCTATAAATAACAGTTTCAAGGACATTAAAAGTTGAACTATTTCAGCTGTTTCTGAGATTATGTTTTGCTTTTATTGCACTTGCAATCCTTTAACTCAAAGACTTAAACTGAGAACATGGATTTGTGTTCGATGACAATCAGGATGTCGTGATGATTTTCTCTGTTCATTTTCTCAGGAACTCTTCTCTGCATGTAACCCCATCGTGACCAAGCCCAAACCCAAGGTGGAGGTACCCAAGGAGGAGACGCCTGCAGAGCAGAACGGCCCCGTCAACGAAAAGGAGAAACCCCAGGATGAAAAGGCAGAGAAAGCGTCAACTGAAAGCACGAGCAACCCCAAGTCAGAAACAACAGAAAACAAGCCTGACATGGACCTAGATTAAAACAGCCTCACGCCGCTCTGAGCTAAGCTTAAGGGGAACTTGTTGCTTCAGATTGGGATGCAGCCTGGGGCTTATATCACTGCGGGCAAAGTGTTTTTCGACATTTGCACTCAATAGTCAAACATAGGCAGGGTAAATTTGCACACTACACCCAGCTCCTGAAGGTATCTCTGTCTGATGACACAGCATGCCCTCCTCTTTTTTTGGATGACATAAATTAAAAGTCAGCTGCAATAAGCCTGTTTGACAATGAGCGCTGTACACATGATGGTATTTATTTCTGTTGTGTGGTCTGTACGTGTCCTGGTCTGTGTCACAATATGATTTTAATAAAGTTATCCAAACCCACAGGTACAGTTTATTTCCTGAGTAAACATTTCAGTCGAGGTTTTAAGAATGTCCATGAGAACCCCGTGAGTAAATAAACTCGTGGTGAGTCGTGGTAAATAAATATTGTCTGGTTCATACTGGAACATTTTTACATCTGCATGTTGATTGAAAAAAAAACAACAATTCACAATAAAAAACTAACACTATATTAAGATCAACACGTTGCTGTTGTTTACGTGAACAGTACAGTAACCTACATATTTTAACGTCACAACACACTGGTCTCACCCGTTATACCACTTTGAACTGACTGCGGACTGGTTGAGATATTTGAAGCAGTTTCTTACAAACTTTGAAATGTCCTTGTTTTCCGGAAGATGAAAAATAAAATAATTTTTCTCTTGAAACCAACATTAAATGTAACTTCATCCAGATTATCTGTGTTTCCAATCTAACAATCTATAGTTAACGTTGGGTTCTCCTCTCTTTAAAGTTAAATTGCCGACTTTACTTTTCTAAGTCTATTCTCACATAAAGACTTTATTAAATTTAATTTGACTTTTATTCGCAACACTTTATTATCATATGTTTACGATTCAATTCTCATAATTTAACTTTATTAGTCTCAGTCTGGTCATTTTGTTGAACTCGTGTTACTTTTTAATTGTGTGTTGCCCTTGTGTATTTATTTTTGTACTGACTTACTTATAAGTATTTGCTGTGTAACGCCTTCTTTCCATTTGTCTTTACACTGCTGCTGGAAATAATCGTCTAATTTTATCACCTTAGCTTCTCTGCCGCGGTGGGGCGCTGTTTCCATCCAACTTCAAGAAATCACATGATCCATCCAGATCCTGTCTGTGCTCTGTGGGAAAGAAAAGCAACACAAACAGGCACAGTAAGTACACAGCTGCTGAGGTCCATTGGACTTATTCTTTGTTTCTCATCGGAACATTAAAACCGGCGCAACGGTAATGATTATTTGGCTTCAGTCTTTTTGTCAAAGCTGATTGACTCAGCCTTTCACTTTTGAACTGAACCCGTGGTTGTTTCTCCATTGTTGCTGATGATACACTTCACTGCATGAGTCTAAAGTCTGTTGATTAACGACACTTCCTGGCACGGGCAGTTTCATAAAAGCATCAACGTTCGTTTGTTCATTTTGTGGTGTTTTTGTGTTTTTAGCGGTAGAAAAATGAAGCTGATCATTCTTAACGACTACGACCAGGCGAGTGAGTGGGCTGCAAAGTACATCAGAAATAGGATCTTACTCTTTCAGCCTGGTCCAGAAAAATACTTCACTCTGGGTCTGCCGACAGGTGAGTACTGTGTAAAAAAAAAAAAAGATCTAAAGGAGTATTCCTCAATCGGCGGTACTTCGACATCGAGTAGAACACAAGGGCATTTCAGGGAGATGATTTAAGATTTCTTTCATATTTCATATAAGTGCAGTTGTTCAAATAATCACATTTTTCATTGGTTTACATTTATAAGTGTAATATGATAGAGAAGATATATGGGTCTTTTCTTTGGGTGAATATTTCTGTTGTAAAGTAAAGGAATTCTATATATTTTAATTTTCTTTTGTGGTTAATTAATCAGTAGGTGTGATGTATTTTTATTATATTTTGTGCATTGTAAATTCTATTTTCAATTGCAGTGACTCACTGCACATATCTGCTACATTCAGTGTTCTTGGCAGGATCACCTACTACACATGCTTGTACTTGTTTGGGAACAAAGGGAACTTCATAAACTGCATAAAATAAACAAACTAGAATCTATTAGTAATTTTAATTTGCTTTGTTTATTTATCTTAGTTTCAATCTAGTGTTGTAACAATCAAACTGTTTTTTTCTACAACTGATCAGATCTTGTTCTTTATCTCTGTGGTCAAATGTAGTTGTACTTTGTATCTGTGCTTACCTGTTAACTCTCGGCTGTATTCCCTTCAGGCAGCACGCCTTTGGGTTGTTACAAGAAACTGATCGAGTACTGCAAGAATGGAGAACTTTCATTCAAGTATGTAAAGACTTTCAACATGGATGAATATGTAGGTAAGATGTCAGCCGACTTTCTTCAGGAAAGGTTTTAAAGGTTTCACGCTTTTTCTTACGCGACTTTTGTTTGGCAGAAACACCAACAGGGGGCAGTAATGCACAATCGTTTACCCGTCTCAATAACAACAATACAGACAATGTCGAGAGAGTTGTTCTACCACTATTTCCATTTAGTGCCAGTTAAAGCTAATGTAGCTAATCTGGCACAAACCAGTTTAAATTATGACCCACTGTTGGTGTTTCTCTTGAATAAAGTTGTGCATAAAACATACTCTAGGGAACACAGGTATTTCTTGCAAATACATTACATATTTCCCAATGATACTGAATGACAATGATGATACTTAAGGCTCAAAATATACTTACACCAGTGACTTCTTATCACATCTTGTATACGATGTCCAGGACTACCCAGGGATCACCCAGAGAGTTTCCACTCCTTCATGTGGAATAACTTCTTCAAGCACATAGATATTGTCCCAGAAAACACCCACATCCTGGATGGCAACGCTGCTGACCTGGTAAAAGAGTGCAATGCATTTGAGGAGAAGATTAGTGCTGCAGGAGGAATCGAGCTGTTTGTTGGAGGTCAGGAGTTCACAGGGCTGACGGAGCATTTACTGTTGATAAAGTAATTTAATAATTATTCCTCTGTGGGGTAAAACTGACACTACTTTGTCTGTCCTGTGTTAGGTATTGGACCTGATGGCCATATTGCCTTTAACGAGCCTGGTTCAAGCTTGGTTTCCAGGACCAGGGTTAAGACCCTGGCAAAGGACACGATTATGGCCAATGCTCGATTCTTTGATGGCGATCTCTCTAAGGTGCCCACCATGGCTTTGACTGTGGGAGTGGGCACTGTCATGGATGCTAAAGAGGTCAGACACCATTTTTTTAATATGTATTATTTTTTCAAAAATTACTTGTGTTGTTGATGTTTTAAATTAAATATTTTCCTCAGGTCATGATTCTGATCACCGGAGCACACAAGGCTTTTGCTCTGTACAAAGCCATAGAAGAAGGCGTCAATCACATGTGGACGGTGTCTGCCTTCCAGCAGCATCCACAGACAGTTTTTGTCTGTGATGAAGATGCAACACTGGAGCTGCGGGTCAAAACTGTCAAGTACTTCAAAGGTAAAGGGAAAACCTACATATATCTAACCATCATAAACCATCTCTGTTTAAACATAAACAGAACATAACATTTTCTTTTTTTTATTATCAGGGATGATGTACGTGCACAACAAGCTGGTGGAGCCTATCTCAGACAAGATGAAGAAATGATCTACAGATGTTTTTCAAACTTAGTGTTTACGTTCGATGTTTGAATAAGTCATTCCTCTGTCTTCTGATGAGAGACACATCAGCTGAGGTCACATGACCATTATTAATCTGTGGTTAAATCATCTGATGCTGATAAGAAGTCAGAAGAAGTCATTCCAAAAATAAAAACTGGTTGAGGACCAAGGATGTTAGAATGAGTCCCAGGTAGGACATGAATGCATCCTGGATCACAGATTTAAGCCTCAAAAAGGTCATGGCTCCATTATCAGGATTTAGAATTTTTGGTTTTTGTTTTGCCTTAATCATTTGATAAGGCTGCCAAGCCAACTTACGGTCTGTAAATGTAAACATTTTAGATTTAGCCTTTCTGTCAACTCCAAATACCCCAAGTCCTATGTAATTCATTAAACCAAGGGAATACAGGTCTCCATCATGAAACCAGTATTTGTGTCCAAGTGCATTTTCACATTTACCAAGTGCAGTTTTTTCTACTCCTTTCTACTTTGTCACCCTTTCTCCTGTTTTATGTATGAGTTTGTATGAGTCAAAAAGTCTTAACTGACCAAGAAACTCACAGATAAGGAATTTTATATGCAATCTAAAATAAACAGCTGATGAAAAATTCTGTCATTGAGTGATTTACACAGTGTGTCCAGCTATCCAAAAGCTGGCATGCAAGATGTCTTGATAACAAGGACTAAAAATTCAGTTTTAGATTTGTCTTTTTTCTTTTTTTTTTAAATGTCCATTGCACCGTATATTCTTGCTAAAGGAAAAGTGAAAGCACCATCAGAGCTGCATGCCACAACCAGGAAGAGGAATTGCTGAGCCAGCAATAGTGATAGTGTGACATTGACTGTTTTATAATACTCTTGCAAATAAATATGTGATAAGGAATACACACACACACACACACACACACATACACAAAATGCCTGGATTAAAATATACACCAAACTGTAAATATGTTTCAAAGAATCAACCACAGATTATCCAAACTACGTCTGCAGAGTGAATCCCAACGACAGAAGCTGTCAGCTCAAGTGAGTTTGAATTATGTAATAACTGACTGAGACAATTACTCTTTTTTTCACATTTGAAATGTCACTTACATCTTCCTGATTGGTTTATAATCCTAAATCCACCCACTTTAGTTTTTCTTGTTTTTTTTAAAGAAAGGTATGGTAGTTTTGTAAATGTAGCCTCAAATATAGAGTAAAAAATATTGCACAGGACAAATGAGAGTGTGATTAACATGCCCATGTATATTATGGCACCATTTCATTTAAATGGGATTGGCTTTTACAATGTCACTGTTATTTTAAGTCCATTCTGGGTCACACGGACTGGTTCCAGATAACACAGGAGAGTAAGAGTGAAACAAACAACCACAACCTGAGACCGAAATTGAAACAACACTTTTATATTCCTAAAATGAAGCAAAAACTATAAACACCGGGTTGCAAATCAATAAAAATACAGTTTTTTCTTCTTTTACTTTCATTTTCAAAATGATTATTTCTGTCCTTTGAAACGTTATCCATATCTTATCCACAGCAGTTGCTTTTTATATAATAATCAGATTACTCTGTACTGGATGACATGTCATTATGTCCATAAAATACTCAAGAAGGGAGTGATAATATTGAAGCATAACACCATAGGAGACATTTACTTGTTCATTAAGTTACATTTTTGTCATAACAATAAAAGTGTCCTGTGTGTTTGAACCATTTTAAATTATCTTAAACTGTACAAAACACAGTATTGTATGTGTCACAGACACAGTACTAGAATCAAAGTCCAGCTCCCAGAGTGTTTTAGGGGGCTGTTTCCTTTTGACTCAGAATGTCACATGTTTTCATTGAAGATTGACACAATGGCCCAATGTGTTTGCTTCTTATCAAGGCAGTTACAACTGACTTGACGTTTTCTTTTTAGTTTCTGTTTTAGTCCACCAATGATCCTGTTTCCACTGGAGTATAAAGGGGCAACCCCCCGAGGCTAACGACAGAGGGGCCTTGATTTTCAGCAGAAAGATGAAACTGATTATCCTCAACGACTACAACCAGGCCAGTGAGTGGGCTGCCAAGTACATCAAAAACAGGATTTTACTTTTTCGGCCCGGCCCAGACAGACTCTTCACACTGGGGCTCCCCACAGGTCAGCAGGAGCTTGTGGTTTTGGTTTATTTCTTTACCTATTCAACCCTAAAACAGCCCAAACTGGGTCTTGGAGCTGGGCTGCAGGAAGCTGTTTTAGTTGTGAATATATTTTTTTGTGATAATATTTTTTGTTGTGATAATATTTTGTTCAAATATCTGTTCATCTGAATTCTTAAGTTTTTGTGTTTTTATTTTCATTTTCTACCTGTATAAATTATAGTATTTATTCTATTCTGTTATTATTAGTAGTATTATTATTTCGACCTTAGCAGCAATATAGCCTTAGGGAAATTATAATAATGGCAATTATTATCAGTAGGTAAACACTTAAATGCACTTCCATCAATTTTGGAAAGTAAAATATAAGTGAGAGCATAAGTAAAAATAAAAATAATTATAAACAAAATAATTGAAGGTACTTCTTTGTCTTTCTGTTCAGGAGTTACTTATTTTTTAAAAAAAGGACAAAAAGCAATACATCGTGGAACTAAAAGTAAAGTAAATGTTCCTTTCCCATGTAACCTGTTAACTCTCGGCTGTATTCCTTCAGGCAGCACGCCTTTGGGTTGTTACAAGAAACTGATCGAGTACTGCAAGAATGGAGAACTTTCATTCAAGTATGTAAAGACTTTCAACATGGATGAATATGTAGGTAAGATGTCACATGACCTTTTCTGACGTCTTTGAAAGAGTGAGGTCTCATTATTTTGATTAAGTATTGTTTATTTCTATTACTCCTCATATTAAAACCCTATCCAGGACTACCCAGGGATCACCCAGAGAGTTTCCACTCCTTCATGTGGAATAACTTCTTCAAGCACATAGATATTGTCCCAGAAAACACCCACATCCTGGATGGCAACGCTGCTGACCTGGTAAAAGAGTGCAATGCATTTGAGGAGAAGATTAGTGCTGCAGGAGGAATCGAGCTGTTTGTTGGAGGTCAGGAGTTCACAGGGCTGACGGAGCATTTACTGTTGATAAAGTAATTTAATAATTATTCCTCTGTGGGGTAAAACTGACACTACTTTGTCTGTCCTGTGTTAGGTATTGGACCTGATGGCCATATTGCCTTTAACGAGCCTGGTTCAAGCTTGGTTTCCAGGACCAGGGTTAAGACCCTGGCAAAGGACACGATTTTGGCAAACGCCCAGTACTTTAATGGAGATTGGTCTAAGGTGCCTAAGATGGCTCTGACTGTCGGAGTGGGCACTGTCATGGATGCTAAAGAGGTCAAAATTTGCACCTCTTTATCTTTAGTTTTGTGTGTTTCTGTGCTTTGCTCTGAGATGCAGAACAAGTTACTGTATGAAAAATCCTTAGCCCCAAGTTTAAAAATGTTCAGTTATTACAACTGAAATCGCTTTCTTTTCAGGTAATGATTCTGATCACCGGAGCACACAAGGCTTTTGCTCTGTACAAAGCCATAGAAGAAGGCGTCAATCACATGTGGACGGTGTCTGCCTTCCAGCAGCATCCACAGACAGTTTTTGTCTGTGATGAAGATGCAACACTGGAGCTGCGGGTCAAAACTGTCAAGTACTTCAAAGGTAAAAGTTAAATTGCAAAACCGAAAATAGCCAACTAATCTTTTCTACCACTGATAAAAAAGTTAATTTGGTCTCATATGATTTTCGTTTTACTCAGATCTCATGCTTGTACACAACAAGCTGGTGGAGCCACTCACATAAGACTTGATGAGAAAACCGATCTACACTGGATTTGTTGTATTGTTGTTGTTTTTTTTTCTGCACTAAAATGTTTAAATGATCCTTATATGTCGGAGATCGAACAAAAAAGATATATTTTTGAAGCTTAAAAAAACTGAGGTTAGAAACAGTAAGATAATTTAAAATATTGATTTTCACAGCAGGCTGCGGTTCTATTTCTCAGGAAGATTGTATATAGCTATATGAATTTATTTCTCCTGTTCCTTCACATACTAGGGTTACTAGTTTTGAAACAAGACGGAAATCTTGTTCGGAAAGTTTTGCACAAAAGGGGAAAGGTCACGTGTTAACACTGGAAATCATATTATTTAACAGCTGCAACACAATCATAATCTAAGTTTATTGTAAAATAATACATTAAATTGTTTTATTTTTCACTACAGTTTATATATTTTTTGCCGTGGCATTTTTTTTAATGTTGTAATACACAAATCTCTTCTAATACATAAAAAGACGAACTTTTGTTCTGTGTCGTTTCATAATGTCTTGTATTTCATGTAACTGATTATTGCCATTAAAAAACGAATTGAAAAGTAACATTCGGTTGATGGAAATTAATGAACCCAATTAAAGTGAAATACTACTGCCTTTCCTCCTGACTGTCTTGTAATTCGGTTATTTTGTATGTATGTGTTAAAAGTCTACAGAGACTTCATAGGGAAATCAAAAAATAATTAATGAAAATTGGAAATCGGGAAACAGCTGAATTGAAACAAACGAAAAAAAAATAGTAAAAAAAATATAAAAAAAATAATAAATAGTAAAAAAAAAAAAAATATTTAAAGCAGAAATGTAAAGCAGCAATCACATCAGTAGTAATCACTTTTATTGATGAGAAACGAAGCAGAGGAGCAGCTTTAACGGCGATAGAGTTTTCGACAGTCCCTGAACGCAACCTCGGAGCTGGCAAGAGGCAGAAGGAGGGAGATGGCCGCCGACTAGGAGGAAACCTGACCTCACTACTCACTGCTGCACAATCGGTGACTTTTCTTCATCACAACACACTGTCACTGCTGAAGCGTGGGAAATAAACATCTCGCTTCTGTTCCACGATGGCGGAACAAAACGCTAACGTCAGATATCAGGAGGTAAGAGACGTTTTTAACAGCCTCGCTCAGATGTGGCTAACAGCTAGCAGTGGTCAACATTAGGCTGCTGTCACTGAAGAAAACAACGAGCAGCTCCTGCCAGGGTTTGACGATGCACTGTCGATTGACATCAAAAAACAAATGCCGTATTTTAGATTCCAATAAATGTGCAGCTGTTCCGTATCTTGAAGCCAGATCGGCCTGTGTCCTTTAAAACTGCGACTTAGTTGACGTTGTCTTGGTTTTTTTTAAAGGCCTGATCCTACCCGGATGCTACAATTAAGCTTGGATCAGTCACTACTGCATAGCGCTCTAAAAACAAACTTAAATACAAGTTCCAACCAAGATACTTATCTCTGGATCTGTACCAATCGAACAAAGACTGTACAGAATGGTTTTGTCGTTGACGGACCATGGGTTTAGAGAGTGATTTGCAGGTTGAAGGCAAGATCTTATCATCAAACAACCGAGCATTATGTATTAGATAAGGATTGTTTACAGTAGGGATGCGCGAATAGTTCTGCCTGTCACTGTCGCATGGACAAAGGAAGACAACTCGAGTTCAGCAAAAAAACAATAGTGTCGAGACCAATTAAGCTGAATAGGATGGTGTCCCATGATACACCTGATGATCTGTCGAAACACTGGTGGGACACAGCCTAGTTGGGTGGGAATCACTGATTTGAAAGAGGAGGTCATAGGTTCAGCTACATGCGGAGCGCCCTCTACTGTATTACACAGTCAATTAGAGGTCTGCATTAACAAAATTCGAATGTAACTCCAAGCTTTTAAAATCATTTAAAAAGTTCAGATATGAAGTGACAGCCTTGTTATACTATTGCACGTGCAAGGTTTTCAGTGTTGGCTTTTTGTGACCCAAAATGATGCATGGTTAATGCAGCACAACTAGCTTGGATACAGTTAAACATACTAATCAGCCCTTATGCCATTGTAACTAATTGGAATTAGCAGAGAGTTTCTAAAAGCTGTGTTTTTTGATACATGCATTAACACAATCTACTTGAATTATCAGCTGGTGAATGAGGAGGAGCCGCCTCAGGAGGGTGCAGCCCAGGATGCACCACCGCCCTACAGCAGTATTGCTGCAGCAAATGCAGGTCAGGACCCTTTACTGCTCTTTAATGACTTTGCAGGCATCACTACAGCCCCATAAAACCAACTAAAAACCATTGAAGATGTGACCTTAAAATTACTCTCATGTGTAATATCATATCTGTTAGTTGTAAAAAGAGCAGAAAGTTGTGTGGTAAGCCTTTTAGATCCTCCTATAGAGGACGAAGGTCAACGTGTTACACAAGTGGGCGTGGCCTCCAGATTTTCCTGGGCGAGTCCAAGGATCAAGTGAAATTCCACTTGTGTTTATACAAAACAAACAAGGTTTCTAGAACTTTGAATTATTGCCAGATGTCACAGATAAAGGGAAACAAAAAACACACACTGTTTTTGTGTGTGTATAGCTATACCAGGAACGCACACACACACAGACCTAATCTCTGTCTTCCCACTGTAAATGATTCCTCCCTGTTCAGTCTTTAAATATCTGCTGCTATTTTTCCCCCCCAAAATAAAATGTATATATTTTTTTAGATGTATGCTGGTTATTTTATACAAGTTCATTTTACTTAATGCTAGTCTAGTATTATACCCAATACTATTTTTTTGTTCTCAGCCTTCTTAGAATACAAGGAAGATGGAAGATTTCCCAACCCTCCCTCCTACAGCGTGGCCACCAGCCTGCCGTCCTACGATGAAGCTGAGAGGAACAAAGAGGAGGCTGCCGTCCCCCTGGTCACTGGAAGAGTCCCGGTACAGCAATCTGTGCGATCCACTAAAAAAAAATTGATAATACTTCTTCACCAACTGGTATGTTCCTGTGTGTTTTGTGCTGCTGCCACAGGAGGATGACTTTGTGGCCAGAGATGACTTTGAAGATGCTGATCAGCTGAGAATAGGAAACGACGGCATCTTCATGCTCACCTTCTTCAGTAAGAAAAAAAAAAACAACTTCTTTGGCTTTTCAACATATGAGGCCTTCAGGTGTTTGTTGATCAGTCATCATTGACTTGACTTAGCCAAATAAACCTAAAACTTATCTTTCTCTCACTAGTGGCTTTCCTCTTCAACTGGATTGGCTTCTTCCTGTCCTTCTGTTTGACCACGTCAGCGGCTGGGCGTTATGGTGCAATCTCTGGCTTTGGCCTGTCCCTCATCAAATGGGTTCTCATTGTCAGGGTAAGACGTGGCTGCCGTCGGTTAGAGGAGCATTAATGCAGTTTTTGGTTATTGGTCGCAGACTGAAACCTGTTGAACATCATCCTCTTGTTGTTTTCGTAGTTTTCCACCTACTTCCCTGGTTACTTTGATGGGCAGTACTGGTTGTGGTGGGTGTTCCTGGCTCTGGGTAAGTGTGCAGTGATACTCACAAAAAACCCAAAATATGTTTCTATTGATTCCGTGTTGATTTTTCTTATTCCTGCTTTCTTTGGACTTCAGGCTTTATGCTGTTCATCAGAGGCTTCGTCAACTACTCCAGAGTGAGAAAGTTGGCTGATCCCACTTACGCCAATCTTCCTCGAACAAGGGTACTTTTCATCTATTAGAGGTAACTGTCATTTACTTCCTTCACTCGGGTGTTTTCATGTATGTATGTGTACATGTGTTTACATGTGCGTATTTATAAACTAAGGTCAGATCACCTCAGATTATCATCAGATCATACAGAGATTCAGTGTACATATAAAACTGTAAATCAAATCACATGTATCTGAACCAAAAAGAATAGTGTTAACACATTTTTCCTAATCTGTTTTTTTTGGTCAGTGACTGTAGACAGAGACGCAGTGTGAAAAGAATGAAGTCAACGTGGTGAAGACACATGAGAAGAAATGAGCCCCAGAAGTTCCACATGCAGACGAGCCTCCATGAAATATTCAGGAACTCTATCAGCTGTTTTACCTGGTTTTGAGCCTTTATTGTTATCATCACACAGACGTCAACATTACTAGTCCCACATCAGTGTACTCATTAGTGTTATGAATGTCAAGTGCTATTTGAATCTCACTCTGTGACGTATCAGTGAAGCCTTATGTCATTTGATGGAAGCACACGAGCATGCGTCCACCTTGCTGCTCTGTCAGCACACAGTCTCATGTTGGCCACACCTGAAGCTAACAGGTATCCCATAAAAGTTCCATTGCATGCAGCACACTCGTTAGCTCCATGGTTAAATTTGCTACTATTAGGGACCGTCTGCAGACATCGTACATTTTAAAAAGAGGCATTTTTGTTTTATTCATTTGGTTGTAAATCCTAAAATTTGCAACAGGGCAGTACTTTCTTCACCTGTTGGCTTTAAGTAGTTATGCTCTAATTAGCCACAAGGGGGCAGTAGATTTCTGTCTCTCCAGGGCATTAGTATTCATGATTACATACATGCTTGCATTAGTAGAGCACATTTTACAACAACATATAGGGTTAGGCGCATATATACAATATTTCATGGTATTTATGTTAGGTTAAACTGTATTTCCAGGAAAAAGAGTTTAAGTTACAGATATGATTACAGGTTATGTTGAATTTGTATTATTATTGTATAAAATTAAAAGCTGCAAACGTCAACTGAACTCTTAGCAGTAGCTTCATGGATGTTTTCCCTGTATCTAAGCACATTTTCTGGATAAAGAACTTGATAAATGTGTAAAACAACTATGACCAACATTAAAATACAGTCGTCCAACTAAGCACAGCATGCAAAGAAGATTAATTTAGACCTAATCAGACTATTTATGAGCCAAAGACACATTGAAGTAGTACTACAAACTGGCACTTCAGTTCATAGCTTACTAAAGTGCCAAAAACCTAAAACAAACAAAACAAAAAATAATATTCCTCACCATACCCTTAGAGGGAGCTCAAACACCACCAGTGGTACACATACCTCAATTTGAGAACCACTGATTCAACTACAGCATTTCACTGTCATCATCTGAAGTTATATAAAGTAAACTCTTTTTCCATCAGGGATCGTTGCCTTAAATGTAATAATTTGAAGGTGGCTGGAGGACTTTTTTCTTCTGCTTTTTAAGGTCATATAGGTGTTATATCTTCATTCTAGAATCTAGTAACAAAGCTGATAAAACCCACAGGATGTTCCTGTCATGTCTCACATAGCTGAAATGAATGCTGCATCGGTGCACGTTTATTTATTCATTTTTCTCAGACTCTGAAGGGGGGGTTACGCTTTCGTCACCATTTAATCATTCTCTGTTAGCCTTTAACAGCTAACGTCATAATTATGCGATGCTTTGATTGAACTAATTTCTGCCTGTTCCTGCGTGATGTAGAACTGCAGCCTTGAGATTATGCGGTTATAAACTTGTACAGAAAATGTGTAGTGTTTAAATAAATGTCACTTTTAAAGAGTCTCATCTTTGAACTTGTCTAAGATTAAATTAAATTATCCCTGAAGATTTAAGATCTGTCTTAATGTATTCTTATATAGAAAGACGATAATGAATAATAATTCACAATATTGTATTTCAGCGTGGTGCCACCTGAATAAATCCACATTTTAATAACACCATTATGGCTATAGAAACCTTCCAAACTATGCAGAAATATAGCATAACGTCTCGTTACATCCAAGATAAAACATGTCGTCATAAAAACGCCATTAATAAAACAAACGCGTAGCACTATTCAGCCATAGCTGCGACATAACGGACATCAAAAGTAATTATGACAACAGAATAACCATAAAATGAAAAAGATTAAAAGCATTTTACTCACCAAAACGCGATTATTTCTACACAAAGTCCACCCCGTCTCTTTAAGAAGAGTTATTCTCCTTAATTGTTTCCTTGTATTATCCGTCTGTTGCGGTTCCAACAAGTTGTTTACGAGCGTCGTCCGTCGTCCAAACATTGAAAGTCCAGTCCGTCCTGACGTATTTGTGGCAAGTTTTAATTCGTTTTAAGACGAGAATATTCGCTCGATAGAAGCAGTGGACGTGGAGAAAACTTAATTTTCCCGCGTGCTAGCGTCGCTACAGTTGCAGTTCGCTCGATTCGAGGCTGGTTTCTAACCGTCCAATCAAAAACACTCAAATCACCAACGTAATAGTACACCTGCTGGAAGGCCTCACTGATTCTGGTAGCCTTTATGCAGATTTCCTTCACCCTAGCAACATATTACGGCTTAAATGTGATTGGATAAAAAAATAAAATAAAGTAAAAATAAAATATATAGATAGATAGATAGACAGACAGACAGATATATAGATAGTATATAAATTACTATGCATTGAGGCTGAAAGCTACATTTTTACTGCAGTTTTGGACACATCTTCACACAAAAACTTTCCTTAAGCTGTGAACACTCCAGTTCAACTGAGGTATCTGTGTGTGTGTGTATCCTCACTCCACAGACTGATCCAGCTGGCGAGGCAGAAAGAAGACGGCTTTCTGCCCAATGTGAGTTCTTGGACCCAGTTTAGGTTTTCCGTTCTTTTTCAGAGCTAGATACCAGCTCCTGTCCTGATACTTCTGAGCCAGGTATGTGTTGTAGAAATTCTCCTCCAGTTTTTCCAGGAAGTAGGATTCATCAGTGACTGTGGCCTGGAAGACAGCAGATGGTTGAGAGTTTCAAATGGTCAAGACAGGGTTTATATACAGACATCAATATCAGTTATGTTTCCCATCGTATTTTCGACTCACAGATGTCCTCCAGGGTGAATACTCACTGAGCTGTACAAACAACCCTCGTCGTTCATGGCTAGATATTTTCCCGTTTCTGTTCCCTGGATGACGACCACACCTCGGTCCACAGCCTTGATCTTTAACACCGCTGGGGGAAGGTTTGAAGAATCCATGATGCAACAGAATGTTAGCAGACAAACAGACCTTTTACAAACCTGGGCTATATTGAATTTCATTTTTTCCTATCTGCAATATATTACAATATATTTAGTAGTTAATCAACAATCAAGCTACAGTAAACATACAAAATACAAAAATACATAAATAATAAAGAAAAAGGACAGTCTATATATACTGTATACTGTATATTTTAGGTATATATATTATATTTACATGTACTGTATATAAGTGTAACTTTTATCTTGTTATTTTGTAATTTCATTCATTCAAATTTATAAATACAATCAGGTCATTTTTTTTTTAATATTTTTTTTTTTTTAAGCATTATTATTATTATTATTATTAGTGACCAAAACCTGACCCTAATGAGACAGAACATAATTTCCTTGATGACGGTCTCCTTACTGTGAACGTCCTCCTCATCCCTCTGGCCCTGCACACGCCCATCAGGCAGGATCTGCAGGTGGTGTCCTCCATTCATGCAGTAAAGCCGAGTGCGCCGCCTGTAGTCCTTCAGCTGATCCTCCTCCAGCTGATGCAGCCGAACGACCTCTGCTCCACCTTCCGTCATCCTCACACAACCCGCGAAAGACCGGGGGGCTGAGAAAGCGAAGGCCGCCTCTCAGTTCGTATAGCGGCCTGCGTCAGTCTCTCTGTCCCCTGCAGTGGTCAGCTGTTTACACGCATGTGAGCGCGCAAACACAGTATACAGGCAGCCTGAGGCGCGCGTGCTCGAGTTCTGGCAATGTGCCCCGGTTCCAAGCTTTGGCATGTGTTGATTAAGTGTGCGAATTGTTTATTAAAAAAAAAAATAATTTTCATAAACGCGTCTTTAAAAATACCATTATACCTATGTTGCAGAATGTGTCTTAATTAAATGTGAATCCATTATATTATTTATATGACACATTAGACTATTTGGCGCAATTTAGGCCACGCCCCCAGAGTTCCAATTTTATTTTCTTATTCCCCAATAACCTACAAAAGTTTGTTCATAATAACTTTGATTGGACAAAAAAAACCCAAACACAGCAGTTACAAAACCATAAACGTTTAAATTAAAAGAGAAATAAAAAGGAAAAAAAATAAGGAAATAATTTATATTATTTAGTATTATCCAGTTATAAATTAAAGCTACAGAAGATAAAAAAAATGAAGAAATAAAAAAAAGAAATAAAATATAAATTGTTAATCTTAACCATCAGGAGGAACAATTTCTAAAAAAGTGCACACAGGATTGAGACTGGCTCAGTTCCGGGTTCCATTTAAAAAGTACCTTATACAGACACTGGGTTCAACCTTTAATCAATGAAGGGGAGTGGGGGGGAGATCAACAGGAGTCAAACTACAGACAGGAAATAATACAGAGGGTACATATAGAAAAACTATTATTTGGAGACAAGTACACCACATATTCTTTACATGGATTATATGTACATGGATGATGGATGTTTTTTATTATTATTTAAAGCAAAACAAAGCTTATTTTCAGAGGAGAGCATATACCAGTGAAACAAGATCTGCCCTTGATAATTCTCAAAAGTTAATGTCTGCATATATTTTATACAAAATAGATTCTCAAACAATATTTGGGTAGTGCAATTTTTTTTCTCTCTTTTAGATTCAAGCTGGTTGATTACTTTCACAAACAGTTTGTGTGGAAAAAAAAAAAAGGATCGACTCCTCGACTGTCCTATTCACAGTATTACACAATCTGACCAAAGCCAATGTGTTTGGGTGAAAATGTTTAAAACACACACACGCGCAGACACACACACACTTAAACAAAAACAAACAAACAAAAACGACTGTACATTTGTGTTCTATGTGCTACTTTGTTTACGTGGACGAGTGGAGTTGGTGTGTTCTCGCTTTGGTCACTGTGTAGTCAAAACATCAAATAGGCTTATTTACTGTGCAGTTCTGAGCGGTCTCTTCACTGACCATGTGTGTGTGTGTTTTCCTGAAGTTTAACGTGAATCTCCTGTTTATAGCTTATATCGGAAACGAAGCACATGTCGGGTCATGTGGTGGTGAAAGGTTACCTGTTGTTTCTATTGCATATTCAGTTGTCCTTCTCAAAAACGTACGGGGCGAGCGTGCATACATTTTTGAGCGAGAAGAGGCAAGTATGTGATTTTGTACAAAGGTGTAAATATTTCATATATATATAAACCGCTTATATATTTTTATATATATTAACTGTATATATATATATCTACCTGTTTAAATGAGCAGCGTAGCAGCAGCAGAGAGGTGGAAACACTGCATGTGAAAGTAACCCGTGAGTAAATCTATTGCAGTTTTATGGAGTTAGAGTTTCAGAGTAAAATGTTCAAGAAAAAAAACAAAACAAAAACAACAACAACAACACCAGAAGAATTGTATAAGAATCATTTTCTGAGCATGTGTGTATGAATGTCAAAGATGGCAGCACAATCCTGAAAGTTTCCTAATCCGTTTCTGTTTTCAACTTTTGGTTCTTATGTCAGGACATAGACATTTTCACAAGGACGTCCAAATAGAGCGAAATTTTCATCAACCTGAGTTAAGAGTGGCTTCTTGGTAGAGTATTCAGGAATCTTGTGTAAACATAGAACACAGAGTTTTCTGGGCCAATTACTTTAAGAGTTGATAGAAATTCAAATCATACGCATTCGGACCATAGGAAAGAATACCTGTTAGTAAGATACATATATATACTACACACACATATATATAAATATGCATATATATATAGACATACTGTATATATATACACACACATATATAGTATATGTATATATATTTACTAAGTATTTTTTGTTCATCTACATCATTAAACCTCTGAGAGGGGGTTTTGTTTTATAAACCCACCCATGATTTCTATATTTCCTTAAATTCCTGCACACTCTACCTGACCCATGATACACCGGTGCTTGTATTAGGGATTCTTCAGAGAGGGTAAATGCATCAACACATGCTCCACTACCACCCATTTCACATAATTGTCTTTGAAACTACGTTAGTTCCTCTGTAAGTGTCACATTCACGTCAAACCTGGATTTTACTTTTGTGCTTCAAACACAAACAGTGTTGGGGAATTGGAAACAAACAATCTCGCGGTCAGACCGACTGCAGTCATTCACCGACTGGACGACACACCTTCCAAACGTGCGCGTCACAAACACTCTTAACCTTTCGCTGAAGATCTCGGTCAAATCCTCAGACTCAATTTCTCAGTTTCACCACCGGGAATTTTCTGGTACAAACACTGACTACGTTTTGAGCTTCACTGAAAACAGACAAAAGCAGGAGTTTGGCACTGAAATAGTTCCCAGAGAATCGAGAGTCAATTTTGCCGAGCTTTCCCCGCCGTTTCTGTGAGGTGACTGATGCTAAGTGCTTTTTTAAACGTTGGGGGTTTGACAAACTAAAAGACAGACATGTAAACACCAATGAAACAAAAGGAGATTAAAAAGATACACAGACGTTAAGACGAAGGTGCCTAAAGGTCGTTAGAAGAGCAGAGGGCTGATCATAATCATCATCATCGTCATCAGCAGCACAGGGAGGTTTACGGGGGCGGGAGGGGATTCATCTGCTAACATCTGGTTCAAAGTGCTATCAAACATACAAGGTGTTCACTCTGAGGAAATACTTCAACACTGTGGGACACTTTCACATCGAAAGAGTCGATACCAGTCTGTTCTTGTTACAACGTGTTTGATTCTTAAGAGAGAATTGAGTGCATTTTATCCTGGCTAAAACCGACAAAGAAAAGAAGTCTCCAACCACTGGGTCCCGGACCAGTACTGGGCCATAGGTAAATTGGTACTGGAATATAAAAAAGCCATATAGGGTTTATATTTGTGAATATTATTTAACGTGAAATTGGTCCGCGGTGCCACAAAGGTTGGGGACTTCTGATCTAAAATACGGTTTTAACACATAACTATTTTACATACATTTTTTTGCGTAGTGAAGTTTAAAGCTACTAGAAAAGAATGGACCAAACCAGAGCAACTGGTAATCAGCCCTTAAGGTGCATGGGTCAGAATTTAGCAACATCCAGTGATGAAGTTGCATGATGTGTCACTTGAAGAATTTACTCTCATTAAGTAAAGGGAGGGAGAAGGGGGGAGGGGGCGATTTTAAATAGTTTACAGTTACTTTACTGAAACCTGTATCGTTGATTAACATAACACTGGTATCAAACTTGACTCTACAGACAGAAAGGTCCCAAAATGCTGAACTATTCCTTTAGCAAAACAAACAACAGAGTCAACAAAATACTTTCTCAAGTAAAGCATCATCTGGCGTGACCAGTTTAAGAAAAGAAACTAAGGGAGGTTGAAGGTCCAGTGTGTCACATTTAGAAGGGATCGTAATCAAAAAATATAAATATTTTTCCACGTAATTCGTGTGAATAAATCAATATTCACTCTTTTGTAGCTTTTTGTGTATAACTTGGTTTATACACCGTGGCCCTCTTGTGGTTAGAGAAGAGATATTTTCTCTGAGATACAATGACTTGGAGGCGTCTGATTCTGACACACTGGACCTTTGAAAATGCAGGACTGGGTTTACAGAGATGCTTTTTCACCAAATGAATAACGACAAATCCAATAAAAACAAACACTCCCATTTCTGATTGGTAAACGCACAGAATTTCACATTCTATAAGTAGACTCGGGACAAGAGTAAAGGCTAAAATAAACATTGAGGAGGGATTCCTAATAAAATAAAAAAAACATCAGATTTTTTTTCTTTTTCAAATAGCAGAGACTGGAGGTCAGTAGAGCCTTCCCAGTCCTTTTAAAGCCTTTATCAACTGGACTTAGTGCTCGGCTGGCACTGAAATATGGAGTTCATTGGGGCCAGAGATCGCATCACAGGGAGACGCTTAATAGTTTATCTTAAGATCTTTAAAACACACAGGGTGGGCTGAGCTGCCACTGTGAGAGATAGTCACTGGGTAAAATAGCAGGAAAACGTGCAACTGTGTGTGTGATATATAAAAAGGTACAATCAGCATAAGATGAAGGAAGACTTTGATGGGCAGAGAAAAGCTACGTTTACACCCGGCGCTTCAGTTCACTTCATTTCAGTAAGCCGGCGCTTCAGTTCACTTCATTTCAGTAGGCTGCGTTTCTTTTTCTTTTTCTTTTTGTGCTTTGATTGTCAAAGTTTTCTAAAAGGTACCGAAATAAACGTATCACTCTGATGCCACTGCTTGGCACTCTTCTTCCCTCTGTACCGTCCGGCACTCGAAGGGTCCCTTCTGTCTGGCAACAGGAATGTGGAATGTGAAAATCACAAATTGTGCCAGTCTTGTGCCAGAAACCAAACCGTTTTCTACACAAAAAGCTACTGCACAAGTTGTTGAGGTTTTTATTGGACAGCCAAACTGCCGGCCACATTGTCCAACTAATGCTCAAAATATCATTACAAGTACTTTGCAACATAACCCAGTCTCTTATACCTGGTTGCCAGACATGTCTCTTGACATGTTTTTCCTTTTGTGTCAATTTTGTCAGTTTAGAACCGTCTGTAGTCTTTTCATAATATCAGGACTGGTTGACCTTGTCACTGGGTGATATTGGAGGGTTAAAAAAACCCATCACCAAATAAGGTTTTGACGGGTTATAAACAGACTTTACGCAGCACTAGAAATGTAAGCCAAATCATGATTAAATATTCCAAAATACTTGAAATTCACTGACGCTTGGTGTAAAAGCAGCTGTAGAAAAGCATTGATTTAGACAAGAAGGAAGTTAATGACTGGAGATGATATTTGAAGCAAACAAGGCACATTATGTTTGTTTTTCCCTTTAACATCAGACCTGTGTAAACCTGGAAGAGGTGGGTTTGTGGTAGTTGTCCTGTAAATGGTTTTGTGTATTAACAGTACAACATAATTCATTTGTTAGTCCTTGATATCGATCAAAAGCGAAGCAGAAAAATGCTCGATGATTTTTTTTTTCTTCTTTCTGTATGACCGATGGCAACGTTTTGATGCCATCATCTAGAAACACTAAAAGAGTAACATACAGTCTAAAAGCCTATTTAAGAGCATGTTAATCGTTAAGCTTTGTCACCATGTCGGGTGACCATGACCTGGAAAAAGTGTATAAACTGTTACAATTTGAAAAATGTAGAAAACAAACAAAACAAAAAAAAACTAATTAGGACCTGTACATACTGTAGATAAAGGTTTCACCTACTTGACATTTTGTTCTGGGTCTGAAAGTAAAAAACCTGAGACGAGATGATGACGGGATGTTAGCCTATTCCTCTGTGTGATTATCTGTTATCTTACAAATATTTCCTACTTGTCGTTATTCACACTACACACTAGACTGTTCAACACTTTGTGCTCACTGTCTGGATCCTACGTCAACTCATCCAGAGTCTCCGTTCGCCGTCTTTTTCCTCCAGGTCCATTAGCCACGGCACAAAGTTGCATAACATCATTCATTCTTTCGCCTCAGATCCTCCTCGATTCCAGGTCATCCTTACCCGCGTTGGGGCTGAGCTTGTAGCGGTAGGTGGTAAGGGAGTTGGGGTAGGTGGTGAGGTGATGTGGTGGGTGTTTTTTTTTTTTTTGTCAACTATATATTTTAAGGCATCATGTCTGTTAGAACGGGAACAGTCATCTCTGGTGAAAGAGGAGAGGTTTGACGCTCCCGGCCTTGAATTTTGGTAACTGGTTGCTGATGATCTCCGCCAGCATCTCTGGGAACTCCACACTTAGGGATTTATTCACAAAGGTGTAGAAGCAGAAGTCGAGCAGTCCTCCAACCATCTGAGGGACGACATGTTGATTAATGTTCAAGTTGACATGTACAAGAAACTGCTATATGTGAAACAGTGGTTCTTAAGGTTTTTTGGCTTGTGACCCGATTCTGACATCACACATTTCTGACGCCCCCAGAGACTTCATTATTTCTAGAATTAGTTTTTGATCATGTTTGTTATTCTGTTTCAAATACAGAGCTGCCAGAGTAGTTCATAAAGATTGATCATGTTTGTTATTCTGTTTCAAATACAGAGCTGCCAGAGTAGTTCATAAAGAGCAGTCACATGATCGCAGCCGTCAATCAAGATCCTTAGTTCAAGATTGTGTGTGGTGTTTCTAATCACAATTTTAAATAGTATAATTTGTTAAAAAATATTTCTATCAGTAATTTTTTTAATCAATTACTAGACATTTCAGGTGACCCAAGGTTGAAAAGCATTTTTTTTATCCCCAAACGTTATTGCACTTTCATAAGGGTGATTATATTTCTTAAGTAATTAATTTGTGCACACAACAACGGGATTATTCACGATACACTTGCACAACAACGGGATTATTCACGATACACACTACTACTTGTGCCTCGTCTGTACCTCGTGCATGGAGTCGAGAAGCTTGGTGAGCTGATAGAAACGCTGCCAGTTCTGGCTGGAGTTCTCCTCGCGCTTCACTATGGCTTTTCCAAGCTCCTTGATGTAGTTCATCCTGATCTCCTCAAACACTGCCTGGCTCTTCAGACCATCCTTCGGCACTGAGGAGAAAAAACAAGAAGTCGATCAAGCTCATTATGTGAGAAAGCACATTTGAAGCCTCATCTGACAATTTTAATCTTAAAATATTTGTATTTCCTTCCCATCACCACCACATTACAACACATTTACTGTTGAGGAACAAAGATATCAGACCATGCCTCAAAATTAACTCAATTGTTGATAGTTAATAATGTAGTGAGCAGTCGGCTGATGATTCGATGACTCATCGTGGCAGCCCTTCTAATTACAGTACATGGAATGAGCACCAATTTGTTTTTATATGCTTCCACCCAACCTGGCATCTGTGAAGACTGACTGCGTGTCAGTAACTGGAATAAGAAAGTGCTTTAATGGTATGCATTGTGTCGGTACAATCAACTGCTAATGTTAGAAAGGCGTGGTCTCTGAGTGTCTCACCTGTGCTGAGCAGCAGCAGGACCTTCATGCACAAGTACTCGTCGTGGGAAACCTGCAACCTGACGAACTCGCTGGAAATCTTCAGCATCATCTCACACTGGTCAGCCATGTAGGGCAGCTTCATCCTCTCCCTGGTACGGTGGGATAGAATTAGGTTAAGTGGAAGACATGTTTCTATTAACACCTAATCTTGGCCATTTATAGTTTGTGCATCAGATGTATTTGCATAACAGAGACGATATTTGAGTGAAATAATAACGCCAATTTTCCCCCTAAGGCTTCACGTTACACACTTTGAGTGAAGTAACAAATATAGCTGTCGTATTCAAATGCTGCCGTTCCCAACAAACAACAGCCTTAATGATGTTCCCTCTGCCCTCAGCTGAAGCACGTTCAGAACACGGTTCACAAATTAAGTCATCAACTCTACAGGAGGATGTGGGGGATGAAAGCTGTTGATGCACACTTTGATTCTCGAGAATTACAACAGTGGGTAGAGGTGATGACAGAGATAAATGAAGCGACGTGTGCATTTTTGCAGACTGAGAAAAAAGAAGCGAGGTAAAAAAAAAAAAAATCATCTGTGTTTTATCGACTGCATATCGCAAAGTACATACATACAAATATATACACACGTATGCATATATTTTTATATGTAATCCATAATATTGTACAGTAATCAGAATACTCAATATATTATTTAGTTGTTGTATTAATAAATCATGTTGACTCTGACTCATGCTACGACGGTTTGGTCACTCTTCTAACAACATGTCAACATCTGGACTGTTATCTACCACACGACGCATATTTGTCATTCACTCAAGTCACAAGTCAGAGATACATACTCGTTAATGACCAGGTCAGGTGCGAAACAGAGCATGTTGCCGTTGCACTGTTGGTAAGATCGCCAGCCCAGACTGAAGGACATGAGGAAGAGCCAGGAGCACTGCAGCAGGGTCATCTGGTCATCCAGGTGCAGCTTCCTGAAACCTGAGTGAGCACGAGAACGTATTATTTTTATTTAGTAATATTCAGTATGGACTACCAGGGCACTTTTTCTAATTGACTGAACATGTAATATTGTGTGGAAAAAAATGTAAATATCATTATGTCGAAAAACTTATTTTTAACCTGGAATTTGTTTTTTTGGACATGTCACATGATCCACCTCCTTTACTGTGACCTGTGACCTCCTGACAGGTCAAGGAGTAAATTAAATGTGAGACATGCTTGCTGCTATTAGTGTTTAGTAAAGTCACACCAGCTCAAAAATATATATACAGTATAAATAAAAATATATATTTGTATTTATATATTACGGTATGTGCCCCACTAAATGGCTATAGCTGAAGTACAGGATATATACGGAGGTCAAGTACAGTCTGTAAAGTCACATCTTTATTGCAGTAACAATATGCACCATAATGGATTTCTCACATCTTACTCTTTTTGCTTTATTTTAAACGTGCAATTTTAATTGTCATCACATTAACGAACATCTGCTTTCACCAATAACTAACCTGGCAGAGCTTTGGCCCACTTGACGGCAGAGACGACTTGTTTGCCGCCCAGTCTGTTCAGGGTTGTCATGAGGCGGGTGGAGGTGATGGCGGTGGTGCTGTCGCAGCCGGCGTAGATGGTCTCCGGCTCGATGGCTTTTAGCAGGGACAGCATGGTGGGAACCAGCTGAGGCAGGCACTTTGGAAGCAGGGCGAGAGGCTCTTCCAGGGGAGGTGTCAGCAACTCGGGCGGGTTGCTCTGCTGCACGCCCTTTAAGCGGTTCATTTTCTTGACTTTTCGAGCTATATGAAGTGGGAAAAAAAAACACATTTGGACAAACTAGAAGAAAAACTGATAACTTGATTTGCGGCTATGCAAACCGTTGCACACTGTATATCCAATAATTACGCCAATTCCACATTGTTCTAACACACAGACAATGCACATGTCATTTAATTGCGGTTAATCCACAGCTACCCTGTGATTAATCAAATACAATAATTCAAAAAAATCAAAAATTGATTTACACTATGTAAATCAATATGTACCTTCCAAGTTCATGCCTGCCACCAGACACTTGCGGAAGCGGCAGGCGGGGCAGTTCTTCCTCCTGATCTTGTCTATAATGCAGTCATTTCTCCCAGCACACAGGTAATTATGCTGCCCTGAGGATTAAAGCACAAGAACATTTCACTGCCACGCATTCTTGATGCTGGGAAATGAAGAAAAACAGTGATGATCCATTTGTCATCACTGTGTATTGAAACTGATTTTTATTTGAGCTCTGACAACTGACATTTAACCACTCTGCCACCATGTGGCTGTGTGACATTTTGGCACATATACAGTACATTTTATTTCAGTGTTAGTGTGAATTGACGGTGTAGTCTGTTTTCGTACCTTCCACTGCTCGCTTAAAGAACACCTTACAGCTGCCGCACGTGAGAACGCCGTAGTGGCAGCCAGACGCTTCGTCAGAGCAAACTTGGCAGATTTTGTGAACGGTGCTTTTCCCCTGACCTGGTGATGCGGAGGAGCCCCCTTCTTGTCTGGAGGTAGAACTGTGGGGGAGAGGATGGAGACAGGAGAGTCAGTGAGAGGCTCTTTACTACAAAAAAACAAAACATTGCATGTACAAATAAAAATTCAAAAGTTGACATAACAGACTACAGTGTTATTAATACACCTTTTTGCTAAATACAGAAACTGCTCTGATTTTCTTTTTAGGAGGTTCAGTCTTAGTTCAGACTTATGGCTTTGCAAAAACATTGCATGTACAAATAAAAATTCAAAAGTTGACATAACAGACTACAGTGTTATTAATAGACCTTTTTGCTAAATACAGAAACTGCTCTGATTTTCTTTTTAGGAGGTTCAGTCTTAGTTCAGACTTATGGCTTTGCAGTAATCCTGTGAATAAATAACTGCACAGAAACACCACACATTCACATCTGTCACTCAGAATCAATGTGTCCTTTGTGCTGGTTCTTCCCCAAACGTTGCCTTCATTCTCCATGTCAAGACGCATGGTTCCATTCTTGGACTCAAAATGGTCAGGAGACCAGTGCGGTCGGACCTTAAATGCAGTTGTGTGTCTTTTATTGCACCGCAAATATTTCCAAGCATGGTTAGTAGACATGCAGTTCTTCAAAACTACCACTAGAGGACACATGGGTTCACAGTCAATGGCAGGGCAATGTGGGCCCGGAGAGATCCACACCCCCTTTCAAGCCAAGTGGCCAAAGCAACAAGAAGCTTACACTGAGACTATATTGATCCTGAGGCCGTGCAACAACAACGTCGGTCCAAGTGTCCACATGTCTGCCACTGCACGGAAAACACACCTTCTTATTTCATGAGGGAAAGTGTGAGCTGTGATTAAGCTAAAGCATGCTAATCTGAGCATGTGAGCCAACTTCACGTTATGTAACAGGAGTTTTTGCAAGAAAGGAGGACCTAGTCATACTTGAGTGGGTGTGGCATCACATGAAAAACTCAAGAGTTAAATAATTGAAAGATTAAGTCCTGAACCCTTTTAAAGCCACATTATTACATATCACTACAGGATTAGGAGCTTTTTTTTTTTTGCATATTAAATGCCCATTTACCTCTTATGACTTCTATTATATAAGACTGTCTGAATTTTTTTGCTCTTTCATTTCCTGACTCAGAGTAGCTGGCAGTCAAACCCTGGACTGGATCAGCTGCAATTCACTGGCCGCCTTCACGGAGGTGTGGTCAGAAATGAAATCTTGTCATCTGTCAACCATGCTGAACAGTGAACAATAAGACGCATGTGTTTTCCAAAAAGTCTTTAAAGAATAAATTCTAACACTGCTGCAATGAGAAGTTTTTTTATGCGCAGCAGATGAGTCATGACAACTTTATGACCTGACAATTTGTCAAGACCGAGTTTACAGTTTTCTTCCACACTGAAGATGCCAAAAAGACAAATACTGAAGTTAAGATTCAGCACGGGAGCAGCTAATGGAAAAACAAACACTGAAGTTAAGATTCAGCACGGGAGCAACTAATGGAAAAACAAACGAGAGTGAATTCTAGGCGATAAAGTAATATATTTAAAATGTGACCATTTCTGTGTGCATTAGATTTACTGATTTATTGTATTTTAATTTGTACAAATCAGAATTTCCACCCTAATATTAAAGCATTGATTTTAAACCTGCATGATAATCACACTTCAGCAGACAAACTGAATGCAATCTTCCATCTAAAAAATCAAATACACTTTTTAATCGATAATTTCTTGAAAGAGTAAAACTAACAGGCGTAGCCTACTCTCCAAGTAAACAGCCCAGGGTAAATATACATGCACAAATACTACAACCATAAATGCGGTGGTGATGACAATGGTGTACCATCTGCCGTGCACAGATGTACACTATGTGAGGTTTTCTCATGCCGCTGCCAATAACACAACACAAACACAGAGCAAAACAAAAGGCCTTCCAGTCCGAGAGGGGAGGGAGGTGGGGTGGCCAGCGCGGTGGACGGAGGAGCCGATGAGTGCTAATGGTGATGATGTCAGAGAGTGTGGGGGAGGGAGAGCATTTTCCAGTTCGACGGCTTTACTTCGACAGCTTTAAGTTACTGGTTCAAATCCAATTACTCCAGCTGCTACTGGTTTTCTGACAAAATAAACAGGACTTAAGTGGCGTCACTGCATCCAAGTCCTGTCCCACAAACCTGAGGGGTCTGAATCACTTTTTTAACGTACAACTCAGCACGCAGAAAAGCTACAAATCGAAGCCGCACAGTGAGACTGAACTATCTCTCTCTCTCTCTCTTTTCTTCTTTTTTTTACACCTTCTCAAGGCCTGTGTGTCTCAGTCAACAGGAAGTTCTTACATTCACCGAGTTAACTATAGGTCAGAGCACAGAAGCCAGAGACAAACGGCCCAAGCTGGGACTCGTCTCTTGAACGGACAAGCGCAGTGCTGAGACGGCGAAGCGCATGTGTTTGCAGCAGTGTGATCAATCAGCATGAGCAAGAACGAGCACGGACAGTTTACACTCCTAGGATAACAGCGATGGCCTAGTGCCCTGCTTAAGAATTCATAATCTGCTTTTAGCTGCGTGTGGGTCAAAAGTAACTTACCAGAACCTTCGTCATTCCCTCAGCTTCTTTGTCACTGCAGCCCAGCAGCTGTTAGGGATCTACGGTTGCCCTGTGCAGTTATTTTATAAAAACTATAGTTGAAACCACAAATCATTCAAAACATGTTTTTGTTTCACTGCTGTTATGGCTTGGACAATGAATTGCATGAACTAAAACCAACTAATATTCATGTATAAAACAATAAATCAAACAGTGAAAATATTTATTTAGCACTGAAAACTGACATTCTAAAAATGCACAATATAAAATATTACAGAACTCTAAATCACATATTTTACTGTCATAAAACCTGAATATGCTACAAGCCACCGCTGAAAGGTTTTTGAAACACAAAGTGGACGGATCAAGTGCAGCTTTAAGGATGAACAGATGATTCTGACTGGCAACCGTTTCGACTTGCGTCACAAAAACGTCCTGTTATGGTCATGTTATTTACTGTAAGGAGGTTGATAGTCTTGACTTTACTTTTGGATATTAGGAAACTGTACAAAGTGTGATCAATGTGTTGTTTTGCTGTTTTTGTTTTTTGAAAATATATACGACAATATTTCTAAGCATTTTCAAAAGGTGAATTGAAAGGTGAAATGAAAATTGGTAACTTTCCAGTAACTGATTGTTCCTTCTGCAAATCTGACACGTTAAAGGAAAATAATTCATCATCATGATGCCCAGAGGTTTCCTAGCCAAAACAACTTTATAATCTGGAAAGTCCATTTTGGACACTTTGTCTGCACTGTGACAAACTTTTACTGCAACTGACACCCACCCAACACGATTAATCAATGTTTAAAGGGGGAAAAAAACAACCCTTAAACGTATTATTGGCATGAGTTTCAGAACCTTGTATAATCATCTCCTCATCGTTATCCAAACTGTTTGCATGAAGGAGAGACGAAGCACAGGAGAAGCAGAAGGAAGTGCCTCCTTCCTGAGGTAAGAGTCACAGAAATAGAAAAGGGAATTGGTCTGCACGGGCTCCGTCAAAGTTGTAGGCAGAAAAACAACAGAGCTTCTACCAGGGCAGAGCAAAAAATGGACAGACTGGGTTTGTCCGACCAAAGACCAAAAGGAGCGTTACTAAAATATGATTTTTTTTGAGTGAATTGAGTTCCACTGCAGATGGTAGCAGTACAAGATGGTGATAACGTATTGTTAATAACAACATTTTGCTCTGCTTTGACTGTGACTTTGCTGCTGACACCTGACTCTCATCAACAGTGAAATACAGCTCTGGTCCAATCAGCTGAGCTGGCAGATGTTTCTGTGTTGAGAAACATCTGAGGTTCCTATTATTCTGAAACGTACAATTTACCTGCACTTACTCATATTCATCTAACTCATTAGATGTTACTTTTCTGTGCTTTCAGATGAGATGAACGTTCCCACAATGGGGTTTTGTCCATGTTAAATGCAGACAGTTTTACAAAACTGACAACAGAACTAAATACGAGGAAAACTGACTTTTCTGGATAAACATTAAAAAATGCAGCATTGTGCATTAAACACATCTAGCTGTATTTTGTTTTCAGGAACATTTAGTCGCAGAGATGTCTGGCACAGAATTGAGATGCTAATTGTGGTTTTCTTTTAATTGCAGTAAAGTAGGACTTCTGCAAAGCTGCAGCTCTACGTATATAGTTAATGATTTAAGATGCCAAGTTTATGAACCAAAATGAGATACAACAGCGCACCACCTGGTAGCAGACATTAGGGTGTTGTTAATTTGACTCAAATGGTATGAAAACTATGTTTACCTTGAAGGTGCTGCCTTTTCTGTAGACCAAATTAAGTCATAATTAATGTTTCAATTGTTCAATTATTAAGCACTGATTAGAGTGTTACACAACTACATAATTAGCCCTTGTATTGTCAAAGAGGGAGAGGCAAGCGACAGATTCTTTGATTATTACTGGATGATGTATAACTTCACACAGTCAAGGTGAAGCAGAGTGGATGAACCATCTGTTACAATGACATGAAGCACGTCAAAACAAACTTTTTTTTGGTTATAAACTACAATGACATGAAGCACGTCAAAACAACCTTTTTTTTTGTTTTTTTGGTTATAAATGAGTTGTTATTTTGTTATTTATAACTCCAGTCATGTGACTTGGTCAAAACTAGTTTCTTCAAGAAACAAGGAATACATTTACTCGAAGTCTGGAGTGAAACAGTCAAGTCTCAACCCTCCATGTACTTTAAAGAGCCACAGGGTGCAGGCCGGAAAGACTGGCTAATGAGGTGATACAGATGTAAGCCATCTCCAACAACACGTTGTTTAGGATGAGAAGAACGACCAAAGAGAAAGAGAAAAATGTGCACACACAATTGAAAAACCAATCAGCTACAACTTCCCCTGGATATAAATAAAGTGGATCCATTAGATTTTTCACTACCTACCAGGTCTATTTTATCCAACTT